CTATTCTTATTTATCCGTGCTGACAGTTCCCACGAAGATTGCAAAGGAGCTGAAAAATCATTCAGTGTCAGTTTCTTTGGGGGGATGGAGAGGAAAATAGAAGATATCATCTAGTGAAGTGGAATGATGTAAAGATGTCGTTGGAGGATTGGGGACTGGGTCTAAGATCTCTTGTTGAGATGAATACTGCACTTCAAGGAAAGTGAGTTTGGAGGTATATGAGGGAGGATGGGAGATTGTGGAATCTGGTTGTGCAGGCTCGATGGGGTATTGGTGACATACGTGGAGATTCTAGGGATGTGACTAGGCCGCATGGTATGGGACTATGGAGAAAATCGGAAAGAGGAAACAATAATTTCAGGAATGCATCAACTAGAAGGTGTTAAGGGAGATAAAATTCAATTTTGGAAGGATGAATTGGTTGGAAGAGGTAGGCTCAAAGATCAGTTTTCGAGGATTTTCACCATTGCATTATCTAAAAATATGGTGGTTTTTTTTTTTAAGTAACTAAAAAAATGGTGGTTGAGGAGGCATGTACTGAGGGGAATGAGTAAGGGGTGGAATGTGAATGTCACAAGAAATCTTAACGACTGAGAGATTAAAGAGTATGAAGCCTGCTATTCCTTTTATCCCAAGTTCAATTGAAAAAACAACAGGGATTAGATGGTGTAGTATTTGAAGAAACAAGGAGAACTCACCGTCAAGACATTCTACAAATATCTAACCAGGAGGGAAGGGACGGGGACGATACACTTTCTGGTTAATCAGATATAGAAGGCGAAGACTCCCCAAGAATTGCTTTCTTTGCTTGGTTAGCAGGTAGAGAATGCATCCTGATTATTGATATACTGATGCAAAAGGGTAAAATTTTTCGTCAATCACTGCTATTTACGCAAGACCAGTACGGCGTCTTGCCACCACATCCTTCTTTGGTTTCCGATGATGTATAGCATTTGATATATGGTGTATGGTCTCCAAGGGATTAATTAGGTAATTGCAGGGTCAGTAAGGGATGAGTTCTAGGCCTGGGCGGGGTTACATGTAAAAAGAAAACTTATCTTTATCTTATTCCTTTATCCATTTTTTGGATGCTTAGAAGGAGAGGAGTGTTAGATCCTTTGAGGGAAACAAGGGGCAGATTGTTAAAATTAAGGACAGATGGATACATATTTTTAGTTATTTGGTTTTGTGATATGACATTTATAGGATGAAAGATTTTGATAATGTCATTGATTTACTAACAGACTTGTAAATATCTTGTATATGGGTGGTATCCTCTTGGTACCATTGTTTATATTTATTTTATATTTTTTTAATCTCAAAAATAATATAAAATATGCATATTTAATTTAATGACATATTGACAAACTAGGCCTTATGGACCTTCCTCTAAAAAAAGAATGTTAAACCTAGTCAAATCTAATAGTTGATCTTTAGTCCAAAGCCTCCTCCCTTGGATTTTGTCAAATGATTTTCTCATTTGCCTAGATCTTCAAGGGGTAAAACGAGAACCAAGCCTCTTTTATTTTTAAAATATATAGATAAAAATTGACGGATTTGACTCTTTGGCCTTGTTTGGATGACTTCCATGATAATTCATTAATGTACAATATTGTATGCTAAGTGCAGAATACAGTAATATTCAAATTATATCATATTTGAAAAGATTGTGTATTAATGTATGGTAATAACAACTGTTTTAGTTTGAATTGATAAAAATAGTATGGTTGTATATTTGATCAAATTATCTATTTTGCTATTATCTTATTATATGTAGTAATAAATGAACAAATAAAAAGAGAAAAGATAAAAAATATATATATAATTAAATATACATACATATGTATATATATAATTAAATATTATATATATGTGTATATATATAATTAAATATACATGTATATATGTAATTAAATATTATATATGTATATATATAATTAAATATATACATGTATATATGTATATAAATATTATATATATATGTCTATATATAATTAAATATACAAATATATATATGTATATAATTAAATATAAAGATATATGTATATATATAATAAAATAAATAAATTTTATAAAAAAAGAATCAAGTGACAAAACAAAATAAGATCAAGTGGCTATATGTATGTATGTATGTATTTATATACATAATTAGATAAAAAAAAATCAAAGAAAAAGAAAAATGGATATAAATGTAAATAAGAAAAAAGATAAATTGTATAAATGCAAACAAAATCATCTAGACAATCGGTGATTTGAAAAAATGAAAAAAATTGTAACTTTTGAACCATGCAATAATCATGAAAAAAATCATTCTGTGTGTCTGGAAATGCAAACAAACAAGATAAAACCATAAAAAAACCATATCATACATTAATATACCATCATGTAAACAAGGTCTACAGGTGAAGTCTTGTTCAAGCAGGCAGAGGTGGATGGTTTTGCTAATTGCAAAGTGGACAAGAAACCACAATAGAAAATCTAGGTTGAAATATAAGAGTAATTAGCCTTTTAGTAGTTTTGAGGCCAAAAAGAATTTTCCGATGAATGATATCAATTCCATTGGTAAGAACAAACTTGATACTAGTTTATTCTAAGAAGAGTTTGACGAATATGGAGCTCTTTAATATCATGATTGTGGAAGAGTTCTCTTGGAAATAAGAATCCCAGGCCAATTGGATCAAAGAAGGCAATCCCAACACAAGGTATTTCCATAGACTCTCGCTTTCATGTAAAACTTTCTAGTATGTCTATTGGTGGTCAGGTTCTTTTTTCTATGGATGGTGGCTAAAAGAACCCATTAGAGCATTTTAAGAACATCTATGATACCCTCGACTTAACGCCTCAAACTTTGTGACTTGAGTTTTTCTTAGTTATCCCTAAAGGTAAAAAACTTGAGGGAGATTGATGAGAGCCCAAAATCTTCTCTACTTATTTCTCTATAATGGGGAAAGGATCCAAGTCCCAATGGGTTCTCCATCATTATTTTATTAGCACAACTTTCTCAAAGAGGATATTCTACATTTGTTTGGGGACTTCTTCCGTAATGGAAAATTTATAAAAAGGCTGAATGTTCTCATTGTAATAGTTCTCATCCCTGAAAATGCATTGAGGCCAATCAATGCAGTTGGGCATGTGTACAAATTGTTAGCCACAACATTGGCTTTTAAGCTCAAAAAAAGCTATTAGCAACGTTTTTGGTCAATCCCAACTTGCTTTTGAAGAGGCAAACACATCGTGGATGTTGTGCTCATGGCTAATAAACTATTTTTTTTGTTAAATAAAAATGTATTGGTATATTAACATGGTACCAAAACAGGGGTACCAACCCATGAACTAATGGATGTTGTTAAGAAGAAGAATGAACTTGGTATTTTATGGCTAACCTGGATGTGGTGAAGACCTACAATCATGTGAACAGACTTCTTCATCTACCTTCTAAAGAGAATGGATTCAGGGTGCAAATTGTATAGCTAGATCAAATGGTTTTTCTCCTGCCCCTTTCGACATCCTCACTATTGGAGGTCCCAAAAGTTTCTATAGAGCTTCTATGGGCTTGAGACAAGGAGACTTCTTCTCTTATCTAGTTTATTTGTGATGGAAGCTCTATGTAAGATGAGAATTTGTGAAAAAGGGGCTTTTGGTGGAGGATGATAATTAGGAGCAAATCTTATCAATCTTTATTGTTGATGATTATGTACTCTCTATAAACCTATTAATCCTCTTTCCCCAAATTAGATGTCCAGAACGTTGCTTCCATACAATCTCCAACCTGAAGATCAACCTTGAACAATCAATGTTGGTTTTGACTGGTGAACTGATTCAGATGACTTACCATGTTGCAAAATGAGGTACTTGTCGAAGGGAGGGAGATTGATATTCATAAAAACATATTCTCTTATCACCCCATCTATCACATGTCTTTATTTTCTAAGACAAGACAAGTTGTTGAATAGGGTGAAAGGACTTGTATCAGTTCCTTTGAGGTGATCCAAAGAAAATAAGCTTCCATTTGGTCAAGTGAGATTTCATCAAACTCCCCTATAGCAGTTTTTATCTCCAACAACAATGGTACATCACACTTTGTCCCTAGGTCATGCCTATTCCACTTCCTCTACCATTGGTTATATTACCAACATCCCTTATGTCTTCTGAACAATCAATAGGCTTTAAGTGACATCTTCCCCTACTGACATTACCTTCTCCTCCCTTTCTGAAAGTTAGACTGCTTGTTGGAAATGAAAATTTTTCGAAATTTTTACCAACTTTGTTATTTGTTCTTGTTCTTTTCCTAGTTTTCATCTCGCTCAAGACATTCCTGGGCACGATCCTCCTAGTTACATTTGATAAAACTCCAAAAATTTGTTGAATAGATCTTATATCACCCATAATGATAGGCTTTACTAAATGTTATGGTCCTTATTTAAGATCTTGTTATGGGTCTATTATTTTTTTTTTTGAAATAAAAGAAAATTCGAATTAAAAGGTACCAAGGGGGTACCGCCCCCTATACAAAATGATGTTACATGTCAATTAGCATATCAACAATTGCTCCAATATCTTCTAAAGATAGTAAATTATAACCCAAGAGTAAGGAGCCAAAATAGTGTAATCATCTATCTCTAATATTTACAAGAATATTTTCAATTCCCTCAAAAACACGATTGTTGCTCTCCTTCCACAAGATCCAAAAAATAGAGAGGGGAATAAGGGAACCAGCTTTGTTGTAAGAAAATAGACCTTCCCAAGCCAAAAATTCTCTATGAATAGAGCCCGCCATTACCCCATTAATATCAAGCTGTAGATCATATTCCACACATCTGTAGAGAAAGGGCACCATAACAGAATATGGTTACAGCTTTCAGTGTTGCATTTGCAGAGGAAACACCTGTTGACCAAAGTTCTACCTCTTTTCATCAAATTATCCAAAGTCAGAATTTTCTCCTTAGCCACTTCCCATGAAAAGAAAGCAATCCTGGGGGGAGCCATTGTTTTCCATATGGTTTCAAACGGAAATGATAATTGCTGATCAGAGTTGTTCCGAGTCCAAAAATCAGCAATCTTATTATAAAAAGAGTTGATGGAAAATTTGCCATTTTTACTCAATTTCCATATGAGGGTGTGTGGAGTGTCTCCCAAATGAACACAAACCATCATAAAGAGGAAATTCTCAAATTCCTCCAACTCCCAATCGTCTAAGTTCTTGCTAACCGCAACACAACAGTGACCAGAACTGTCAAAAGCCACAAAAACCAACAAATTTTTCCGTTGTGCTATAGTATAGATGGCAAGGAAAATAGATTTGAGGTTTCTTTGTTCACGCCAAGCATCATGCCAAAAATTAATCTTGGTGTCCCGACCTACCTACCAATGGGTATTTGCAATCAGCTCATTATAATTGGCAAGTATGCCTTTCCATGCACTAGTACCGTGAGGTCTTTTAGGATAGAAAAATCTACTAACATTGTCTTTTTTCATCTATTTAATCTCTATAACTTTCCTTCAAAGGTTGTTGTCTTCATTTAAATATTTCCATATCTATTTTCCATGGAAGGCTTCATTGATGTTAGCGATAGATCTTATGCCGAGACCACCCAACTTCATCGGCAATTGAACTTCTTCCCATTTAACAAGATGAGACACTATTTTGTTCTCCGTAACACCCCATAAAAATTTGTTCTGTATAGCTTCCAAACGCATGGGTCTATTATTATAAGAATAAAAAGTAATTGAAGATGAATACTTTCTGGGCTTTTTTCCTTTCATTCCTATCTTCAACTAGTACTAACTGAAAACGGAAGTGCTCAAGAAACTTTTATCCAAAAATTCTTCAGTGAATAGAATTTATTCCAATTGGTATTTTTTATTTGTCCACGAAAACCTAACTACTTCTAGGAAATAGTAATTTCCCTGGCTTGGAGTGACTAGTCCCACCTACATTTATAGAAATCGTTGTTACACATGTCCTAATATCAGATTGTACCATCACACAGAACTACATAAGTAAATAAAACAAGAACATTATATACTACATAATTAAAAAATAAAAAATCCTTGTTGTTTCAGCCATGCGCTCATCCCAGAAACAATGTGTCACTTAATTGCAACTCTGAACTCATTGACAGGCATCTTAGAAGATAAAAGAATGACAAAGCTTGTTTCTCTTATCATCTTGACTTCTTTGTGATTTATTAGAAGGGAAAAAAATAAAAGAGACTTCAAGCATGTCGTGTTCTTTTTAAAATTTGAGAAGAAAAAAAGATAACGGCATTAAAAGGAACCTAGGGGGTGTCAACCATGTAAAAAAAATAAATACAATTCTCTCGAAGAAAAAAGATCAACAAATAAGCCCTGACAAAAAGAGGGCAACATTTCAGGCCAATGATCCCAGAAGCTGGCAAAAGTTGAGGAGCCATCCTCAAAAGCTCCTTTGTTTTGTTCTTTCCAGAAGTCCCAGAAAATGACATGGACTTTTAAAAACACCGGATGTTTATAATTCTTTTAGTTTAGTTCAGGATATTTAGTTCTAAATTCTTTCCCTTTTCTTAAACAGCCATCTGCTCAGTTCAACAGAAGTGTTGACCAACTTGTAAATTCTACTTCCTTTTCTATTTCGGCGGCCACCCCCATGGTGCTTTTTAGTGAATTTCATCTCCTCTTCTCTCCAAAAGAAGTTTTTTTTCAGAAAAAGAAAAAGAAGATATGAAGTCAAGAAAGAAAACATAAAAAGAAAAGTCGGCAAATTTTAGTAAGACAATCTCTAAACTTCTTTGCATAATAATGCAAATCCCAAAAGACCATGCACCTTAACCGTAAACCACACGAACAATATTATCCCAAATAGCATGTGTATGTTTGACATCTTGATTAAAAACTCTAACATCTTCCCGCCACAAAATACAGAACTTAGCAGAGAGTGCCCATTAACAAAACTTATTCTCTTAATTTTTAATACAACCCTTCAAATAGGCAAAGAAAACACCTGATGAATGGATGGTCAAACCCAACACTCCCCATCAAACAATCAAATATACGTTTGTCAATAGCTAGCGCGCATGACACAAACTTTAGGAGGAAGTAAATCTACTCAAGTATTCCATCTTTCAGTGATTATTTAGGAAGATGGATCAAATTTACATGGTAAATTTCTAATTACTGTAGCAGGTTTGTCGATAAGTTGTACAAGGTTGACTCTAGTTGATCCTCTATATGAATGGTCTTCTAATCATCTTAGAACTCATCATATAGTTGTGTTCGCCTTTGTCTGTATAGAAATTCCTCTAATTCATTTTCTTTCTCCCTTTTTTGTGGGTGAAAGGTCCCAATTGAATATATAAATTAATGACCAAAGAATTGCATCTATGTTTTTCAGTTAAACCAACTGGTAACTGAACCTTGGTTATGGATTATGGATTTTATGGCTTGAACAGAACCGGGGG